GCTATAGTATTGGCAAGAATTTTAAATGACTATCCTAACATACTTCACACGGATCCAGGGAAATTTTGGTATTGATACAAAGAAATTATTCACTTACGTCCTGTCTCTACCAAAGGCATCCACCCAAGGATAGATATATTAATGAAAAGCTAAAAAAAGTATCAGGATTTACATAAAGTAGTTCAAGGCTAAGTTTGGAATACCCTTTTGCCACCTTCAATTCACATGTGTCCCAGTAAACTCAATTCGATGATGTTTAGTTTCCCTCAATAGTAGGTTTACACACCAACATTTGGCTTGGAATCATGTTTCAATTGATAACAATATGAAAGTTGGTCTAGTAAACCCAGTTTGCAAAATGAAATTCATTACATTAACTCTCGGAGTTCGTCATAAGTTCTTAATCTTAAGCATAGAGCGATTTCGATAAATATAACCAAACAAGTAAATAAAATGCTCTGCACAAACACTAAACAGAAAGGGAGGATAGCGTAGAAACTGAACACGAATTAATGAGTTACATAGAATACCTTAGCGATTTTGATCTCATCCTCAAGCTCGTGAAAGCGATTATTCAACCTTCCAAATTTGTTGATGTTCTGTTGGTCCTCCCATGTCACTTCCGTCTCAGATCCACCGCCCTTTTCGGATTAAAAACAAACGATCAGCTTTAACATGAAGCCGACGAAATAGCAAAGTGCAATCTGAAGAGTTATCATGGTTTCCCATTACCTGCTGCATTTTGTGATTCCAATTCAAATTAGGGTTTCCGACAACGATAGCAGGATGACTAATGACTCCCCTTGGAATGTTAATAGGATTCCGTGGATTTAAAATGAAGAGGCATGCCAAAAAGATTTGTTTTTATATATATTTTTGTTTTAAAATACTGATTTATATATCAAAAAGCAAATTATAAACTTTAAGAAAAAAATAAAGTAAAAATGAAAAAAAAATAAAACTAAAATAATAATAAAATATACTTATTGATGATGTGTAGTAGATTAACTTAAAAGAGTAAATTAATTTTGTTTTAAAACTAAATTAATCACATATACACTAAAACATAAGTTTAAATCATAAGTTTGATTCGAATAAAACATAAAAAGAAGAGTAAATTATAATTGAGAATGAAATAAAACCTTATGTTTTAATAATTAATTTATCTACTGAGTTACTTAAAATAATATTTGTTTATAAACGAGTATTAGAGTATTAAAATATTTATGAGTAGTAAATATCTGTAAATATTAATTATTCGTCTTAGATTTTATTTGCTTGTAGAAACAAATTTTTTTTTGCCATAGTGTGAAAGCATGATGGAAAGAATGAGAAAAAGAAAAAGAGAGAAAATAAAAAGAAAAAATAGAGGAGCCGCACATGGTTTTACAACCATCAAATTAAATTAAATTTTAGAAATAAATTATATTTAATAAAAGAACCTGAAAGACTTTTTTTTTTAAGTTGAAACCTTAAAGCAAATGACATACTATTAAGGTTTTGAAATGTAACGAATCTTACATAATTGTTTTGGTTTAATAAGATGAGATTTTTATTCCTTTATTGAAATTTAATTTAATTTTTAATTGTTGTAGAATCTTTAACACATCTCCTAAAAAAAATATGAGAATCAAGAAAAGTTTGATAATAATTAATATTGTAGAGTTAACATGCTCAAGTTAAATAAATTTTGATTGATTTGGTATGAAATAATATAATTTAAGTTTAATTCAAGATGAAATTGAGCTAGTTTAAAAGATGAAATTGATCGGTTTACTATATTTTTTAGTTCCTTAATTTCATCATGGTACAATTTGATTTTTATATTTAAGATTAGTTATGAAGGAGAATAAAGAAGCGAGGGATCTCTCAAAGTTTGAGAGAGAATGTGGGAAAAAAATAAGAAAAACAAACAAAATATATTAGATTTAATCATTTTCGAGGTCTCTACTATTAAATTGAGTGAACAGAGTTAAAAATATAATGATGTGATACGTTGACGTTGCGATGTAACAAGGTTAGGTGGTATAATTATGTTGAGGTTGGTGACATTACGTGGAATTTGATTATTTTAAGTTTTAAAAAGAAGTAAAGTTTAATTAAAAAAATTTGTTATGCTAAATTAGAGATCTTTTTAGAGAAGGTTCCTTGTGCGAAAGTAAGGTTTCAATGACACGATATTGGGTTATTTCGTTTCGTGCAAATTAGGGTTGATTCAATGAAATTAGTTTTCAAACATTGAGATTAAAGTTTCCTTGGAGGAATTTGTAGTTATCTTTCGAACATTCTTGGTTGGAATTGGGAGTAGTGAATGAACGCAGATCCAAACTTTCGCAGAAATAGATAAACGCAGATAAAGACCCACCAATAACACTGAAAAAGTAGATGAACGCAAATCCAAAATTTCCCATGACAACAATAACCTTCAGAATATCGTTAAACAAAAGAAGTATCAACATTCGCATCACAACAACATCGTGTTACAAAAGAGCAATTTCGAACACTTCGTACACCTTTTAATTTGGGATTTTGGTAAATTAGGGGATTCAATGAAATCTCAAATTTTTTATTTTAAAAATTACAAAACCGTAACTAACACCCTCAATCTACTACATTGTTCAAACATGTAATGTTAATGTGTCACGTCTTTACATTCTTAATATCATTTCTTCAATTTAACGATAGAAGTGCAATTGAATCAATTTTAAGTAAATAGAAATCTAATTGAGAAGAAAAATAATTGAGAAGATGTATTTGAGACTTTTTAACAAAAATTAAGAACTTCGAAAATTATTAAACTAATATAATAAAAGAAAGAGAGATCTCCCCGAGATTTTACAACTCTCAAATTAAATTAAATTTAAGAAATAAGTTATATTTAATAAAATAAACTTAAAGACTTCTCCTGTAGAAGTTAAAAGCTTAAAGCTAATGACATATTATTAAGGTTTTGAAAGGTGTATAAATGAATCTTACAACTTTAGTAAAGTGAAATTTTTATTTATGTACTGAGATTTAATTTTATTTTTAATTAACGTAGAACTTTTAATGCATCTTTATAGAGCATAAAAATCAAGAAAAATCAAGAAAAGTTCGATAGCAGTTAATATTGTAGATTCAACAAATTCAAGTTAGATAAATTTTGATTGACTTTTATACCACATTAAAATAATATAATTTAAGTTTAACTTAAAATTAACATTTTTTTCTTAATAAAATAAAATTTAAACTTATTATAATTTAATTTTATTTATTCGTATAAGAGTTCTCGTCTATATTTAACTAATAAGACTAATAAAAAAATTGTTTACAAACTAAAATTAATCGACAAAGTTTTAAGGAATTAAAGGTGAAATTAATAAAATAACGAGTGAGTAAAAACAAAATTATACTAAAAACCAATTAAATGTAATTAATAACTATCCTGTCAATTTTATAGTTTACCCGTGAAGGCAACACAAATATAAAGTTTTCATTTAATGAAAGAAACTAAAACATTAACGGGTATAAATTTTAGAAACCAATATCAATCAAACATTTGTTTAAGGACTAAAAATTAAGAAACTGAAAAACATATTTTTATTAAAATAGGTGTTTCGAAATAAATAACTTTTAAAATATCACTAACTTTTTTTTATAAAAAAAACATAGGAATTGTTTGTAAAAGTAAGGGGGAAATTCTGTGTCATGAAAAGTAAGCAGATTACACAAAACCTCCAAAAAAAACATAACTATCCTTATGTTATTAATCAATCACTTTCTAAAAGAAATACAAACCGATTAACAGAAAAAGTATCGTTTGCAATTCTATATTTGTATTTTATTTATTTACTTCTTGAAGTATAATACCTATTTTGGTTCCAATTTTGGTTCCAATTTTGGTTGAGAATGTTCGAAATGATCACAATTTTTGTTTGCTGTTTAATGTAGTCCTAAAGAATGTAATTTGTGTTCAATTTGATCATTTTTGCAAACGCCGTTAAAATCGTTAATGGGCATATGTCCAGATGTGCAATTACAGAGTGAAATGTAATGTATTGGCTTACGTGGAGTTCTTTGTGACTTTGCGAGTTGGATTTATTATTTTTGAAATTATATTTTTTTACGTGGAGTCCTTTGCTGGTCTTCTTCCTTGGTGTTGCGCGATCATAGACGAAGAAAGAGTTTTTCTGTTGCAGATATGTGTTTGTGATTGCAAGGTTTCTGATGCAAAGGAGGTGTAAGGGAAAGCTTGCTTATGCGCAACGAGAAGAAACGAAGATAGGATGGAGAAGATGAAATCGCTATCTGGTGGAGGATCTCGCGGCTGACAGTGAGTTTGATGGTGGTGGAGAATGACAGTCTGATAAGGGTTTCATGGTGGAGATGGAAGTCGAGGAAGACGCTGAAGATGATGATGGAGGACTCGCAACTTTGGCGTTCGCGTTCTGTATTGGTGACGGTGGTGGCTACCGGCGACGATGCTGGTGAGGATGATGGGTGGTGGTCCGATGCTGGGGTTTGATGGTCGTCTAGTGACGACACAGTTTCATGGTGGCGACACAACGTGGCTGACGGCCGCATTGGCTAGGTTAGGGAACTAGGGTTTCTGTGGAGAAGATGATGATGTGTCAACGATTTCACTCTGTAATTGCACATCTGACCGTTAACAATTTAAACGGAGTTTGCAAAAAGGACCAAATTGAACACAAATTACATTATGTAGGACAACATTAAATAGCAAAAAAAAAATTAGGACCATTTCGCACATTCCCAACCAAAATTGGGACCAAAATAGGTATTATACCTTTACTTTTTTACTATTATTCACAGTTCTTCCTTTCTCATTTTTGTCTCCTAATTAAATCCTTGAGTTGCTTTCCATTCTCATAGAACCATAGAACATAAATGCATAATGTTAAAAACACTAACGTAGTTGAAGTCTCGTTCGATTCTTACAAGGGGGAAGACATGATTTGACAAAATGTTCCATGATCCAAAGAATAACAGCTAACAGCAAATGGAACAGAAGTAATGAAATTGGTGGTTGCACATACTCAGTCACTAGCAAAACAAAATCATACATATTCCTCGTCTAAATGAACAAATCTCTAGGCAGTAATGTCGGTGAGAATGGTATCAAAACAGTTGAATGTGTATGTAAAGTATCGGGGGAAAATGTATATAGATAGAACAGGGAACATGTTCAAGGGGGCAATGTCTTTCGACAATACGATAAAACCATCACAAAATCTTTGGCTGAGGACCCCACTGATGCTGGTATCCTTTTCGAGGTTGAGGCTGTCCGGAACCATAGATCTACTAAATTATGCAGTTGTAATGATGGAAGCACTGCTTGACCCCGGCACATTATTTCCACCTGTGCAAATTATGTAAAACTTCAATTATTTCTTTTGCTCTGAAAACAACATTTGTTATATCGTAATTTACGTCCAAATATGTTCAAATCTTATGGCAACTGAAAGTTCATATAACAAGCAAATCGTATGGCTATTAAATATCCGGCCATAATGTGCTCTATCTACAGCTATATCTGATTCAACTATTAAATATCTATGGGACCTTCGGGACAGGAATGCTCCAGAGACAACAAAATTTGAGACCAATATATGCGCAATTCAGTTATTGTCGTATTTTCAGTACTATCAATGTTAATTCAGTTCTCTGTCTACTTGGTGACTTGGTGTTAAAACTTCGACAAAAGAAACGTGTTTCCAAAATTTTCAGCAAATTATGTGGTTGCATGGGCTCGTGTCAGTAGTTGTGCTTTCTAATATTTACTGTTTTCTATTACCTAGAAGCATGCAAAGTTTAGTAAAATTCTGAGACAACCCATAAATTCTAGTTTTCATAGTTGTAATATTTCTTGTGATAGTCACAGCCAATGTCCACAAGGCAGCACTATGTTCTTGGTTTCCTATAATTTCTCGCAAACAACAATAAGGCACACTTTAATCAGAAAAGATTCAGGACCACAAGTTTTTAGTATAATTACATCCTCGAACAACAATTAATTCGAGAAAAAAGAAAACAGAAAGGAGGAGATAGAGAACATGCCAACAATTCATTGTCCTTAGATAGTGATGATAATTTACTCACCTCTGCTTCACTGGAAAGATTAAGTTTCTTCACGAGGTACTTTTGAATAAATGAGACGGGCACAGTACCATCCCTGTGATGAGGTCAGGAATAAAGAATTACATAAATCCTTATCATAAGAAAGGAAATATATTTAAGAAAATTAGCAGAAAAAGAAAGAGGTAAAGAACTATAAAATGAAAGCCAGAAAAGGGAATATATTTAAGAAAATTAGCAGAAAAAGAAATAGGTAAAGAACAATAAAATGAAAGCCAGAAAAATCAACGCATTTCAAAACTATTCAAATGGAAGCTAAGTTTTCTTCGCTGAAACTGTGATTCAGACAATAATCACTAATCTGTGCATCTGCTACCTAGAATAACACAGCAAAATGAAATCAACATATGACTTATAGCTTGTTTGGTTTTGCATCACAAAAGACTCACGCTTAATTCCCACAAAAAAGGGAGAAGCTATACAGATTAGCATTGGATTTCCGAGTCCCTTATGTTAGCTAGCCTGTGGGGACTGAAACGACAAGGTGTAAGACAATGATCACTACTTTGCTGATTTTTTAATAGATGGTTGTTCTAAGGAAATGAGTAAGTCTAAAACTAAGTTATAAAATTTGGAAGGGTAATTTTTTTGCTAATTGCATCCTGAACTTTCTTAGAATACTCTATGGAAGTGTTTGCCTGAATATCGGTCAGTCATATCATTAAATGCAGTAACGTATTTTTCTCTTGACTTCCTATATAATCCTTAGAGTTTGAGAACTCATGATAGAGCGTATATAAACAAAAGCACTTTTTTATATCTTATTGTTCTTTGCTAGCTTAATTTTGACACCAAAATTAGAAGCAGTTATACACAGCCCAAAGTCATAGTCATAGCCAAAGAAAAACTTCTAATTCAAAATAAATAAAGTAATTATACAAACAGAGTAGCAATGAGATCAGAAGAATTACTTTATTCTTAAATAACATGCTGAGATCTGTGGCAAGGGAATATCTCCTTTCCTGAATAATAACATCAAATCTTTAATGACAACAGAAGCTCAACATTTTGTTATTAGTATGATTGTTGTATATAAAAAGACTTACTGGTCCTCTGAAGCAACTAATGAAAACCAGATAGGACTATTTTTTCTGTTGCACTTGCTCCCTGTTGCATTTAGTGGAGCTGGGGATGAGGAAGACATCTCAGATGCTGCAACTCTTTTCTGACCAGCAGGACGCAACCTTCTTCTCTTCACTGGTCCTGAAGGCAAGTTGTTTGCATCCTTGTCATCCCCAAATATTGTTTTGTGTCCAGTATCCTTATTTTTGGATTTTGGAATGTTTAGTTCACTGTGGACAGAAGCTGGTAGGTCTGTTTTGGTTGTAATTTCAGGTATATTTTGTCCACCATGAGGAGTAACCGGGGACTCTAATTTGGCAAGAGGAATTGCTTGTGAATTTGACCTGGAGGACTTTGTTCGGTTGGCAGCTTCAACAAGACAGTTCAGGGGTGTCCAGAGATCAACCTTCCCTTCTGCATGTTCCACACTGTTCTCTTTATCTGCATTAGGCTTATGCTTTTTAGAAGGCTCGGCCATTGAAGGATCCTACAACCATATAGGGAATCAATGATTATATATGAGCATTATCACATTGTGCATGACTTACACGACCCTCATTACTTAAAACTAAGGCTTAATTAATGTCACATAAAAACCAGAAAAAGTACAAACACAGAAAGAAAAATTAACACCAAGTCCTGTTGCCCCAACAGCCCGCATCTGACTTACATTTTCGAAAGTCATATTTGACGAATCCAACAAAATTGACCTTACCGTATTATCTTCACCGTTTGTTTCTTCCTTCTTTATGGATTCAAGAAGAAAACCGCATCCACGTAAAGCAGCAGCAGCCTTTCTTGTACTGGTTTTAGTTCTCTTTCCTGTAAAGCCGGGTTGCATTGAAACTTTGGGGGCACTGACTACCAATGATGAAAGTGATCTTTCTTTCCTTTTGGTTGGCAATGATATTGAAGACAAAACTTCCTGGGCCTTGATCTTTTTTCTCTTAAACGGGAATACTTTTGCCCTTATATCTTGCAAATTATGGTCTGGCCTGCATATAATCAATAGGAATCCTTGATTATTTCGCAAACTTCCAACAAATTTACTAAGCTGCGTTTTTTTTATAAATCTACAAAAATAATTTATTCATGCAGCCTCTAAGTATAACTCTCATTCAAATCTAATATGCCTGATGATGGGGAAGACGTCCCTCTGGGTTTCATATTGAAGGTCCATTATATCAAAATATCAGTCTTCACCAAAAATCACAAGCTGCAAATGAAATTCACATACAAGATTCAATCTCGGTTGAAAATGTTAAACTATTGGTAGTCTTTCAGACTTTAGGAAGAAGGGTGCCTTCTATAATACGATAGATGTCCAGAATTATGTATCTGACTTATCGGTGACAAAATTCAAGGCAGATGCAACTTATATATTGTGATTACCATTTCTGAAAGTAGGGAAGAGAAAAGTTCAAATCCAACTTAAAGAAAGAGAATAAGTTCAGTGATGAAATTTTTCGATACACAGTGAAAGATATTCAAGATAAAAACCTTCATTCGCTCACACCAGACAAATAGGTTTTATACCAAGAAAGAAAAAGGAAGAGATTGATCATGAGCATTAGTAAATATTCTCAGCAAGTTCTGTAGTACAAGCAAACAACAAATACTAACAACGAAGTGAGAAGAAGACGAAACGGAATAAACAAAGTTACAGATATTAATCCATCCCCAACGAGAAATTCCAGCAGCATGTTAGTTCAGTCCAGTTCAAAAGAATTCATAAATAGCACAAAATGCAATAGTAAGTTGGCAAACAAAGACCAACCAACCTGAGCTTTTCAACCGGAAGGCAGCCTAAATCAATCTTGCACACAGGACAGCAATCCATCTCCTCATCCGATAGTTTATCATATATGCACTTCCTGCAAACTGGTGTTCGAATGATACTTCAGTGAGTTGCACAGAAGATCCTTGCAAGTGTCGATAAATATACTCAAAACATGTGCAAGCTAGAAGATGTAAGTGTGTGATTCAGGAATGTCATAAACATCACACGCTGCTCGAATTACCAAACTAACGTATCATGAAAGTCCACTGCATCCTAAAAACACTTCACAACAGTACGCCACCTCAAAACACAATTAGGACGATTCCATTCCTTACCCGTGAAATCACAGAAATCCAAACAACCAAAAAACCACAAACAAAAAAGTAAGCCATGTAAGCCCAGCTATCATGTCAATCTTATTGCTCTACCAAAGCCACAATACAATTATTTAACGTTCTCTTCACGCAATAGAAGTAATCTAAGACAAAAGTTTCGTATGAAACCAGATCACCGAAATCACCAATCACAAGTATCAAGCAAGCGCATTGAAAACCCAAATCATGAAAATCCAGCCAATTAGATATAAATTAGAGAGCAAGGACAAGGATGAGTAAGAACCCAGAGGGATTAAACAAAGAGCAATGCATTGCAGATTGTGGGGTAGGTAAACCGAAGCAACGTCAAAATCCGGGAAAAAAAATTCAAGAGCAGCATACAAATCAAAAGAGTACAGAAATCGAAGGGTAAGAGAGACGAACAGGTGTGAAGGCAGAGAGAGATGGTGGTGGCATCTTTGTAGAAGTTATGGCAGAGAGGGCATGTCATGCATGGTCGTAGCGTATCTCTCTTCACTTTCACCACCTGGCTCGACACCATCGCTACGATAACGAATAAATTAATTAACTTTGCATTCCAATCCTGCCAAGTGAACCACAGCACACCACGGTGGTTCTATCCCTGTTGGATTCGACGTAGAACCGATATGGATCTGGGGAGGGAATTCAGGTGGCGGCTTTTGGGGGCCAAATCCCCAGATGGGGTTCGATTGTTGGCAGAAAAACTACGTAAAGATAGACCGGGCACCGTCCAATGTTGTTGTCGTTGTTGGGTTTGGGTGTTGTTGGTGTTAGACCGAGACAAAGAAAAGAGAGCATGAAGAGAAAGAGAAGGAGAAGCGAAGCAATACACACGCCATACACACACACACACACTACTAACAAACCAACGCTTCTTGTTCCGTGCGTGTGTTTGTGTGTCATTCACATATTTGACTTCAACTCTCCCAGATTATTACTGTTTACTTTGGTAATACCATGTATCACTGTTCCTTAACTGTATATCCTAACCTCCTTCGTTTTTTTCATTCTATCTTCTTCCTTTCTAGTTACCATTTTCCCCCAAAATAGCAAAATATTCTGTTACCAACATCACCCTAACACACTACAAAACTTTTTATGTTTTTTTCCCAACTTCTGACACCACCTCCGACTTTCTTCCTCCTATTAAATTAAACAAAATTCAATTTTATGGCTCATTACTCATTAATTAACATTAGCACTAATTTTGTTTTCCACTCATGCATTTATCAGATGTAGCTCTAATAAGGTCACGTTGAGATGTGTGTGTAACGCTACTTAATGTAACAAACATTGATGTCTAAGAATCTCTAACAGGGAAGTTGACTTATGACGGCTAGATCCTATCTATGCAGCTTCTCACTAATAAATCACGTAGCGTATGCGTACTTAACCTATTTCAATCCATAAACTTAACCCATTTATTTACTCACTTAATTATATTTTAGTTTATTTCAATTAAATTATTCAAATTTCTTCTTTCAAAATATTATTAACCAATTATATATCTTTTTTTATCAGAGAAAAAATTAAATCTTTTAAATACCCTTATTGTATCAGAAATATATAATTATGTCTGGGATGAAATTAGCTGTCTTCAAATCTTAAACTTTCACTGTTACATTACTCAATAATTGTTTATATAATATGATCAGACAATCTAAATATTATTTTTTTATTTAAAATAATTAAATTATATATTTTTCATGTAAATAAAATTATAATTAATAACATAACTTTATTTTAGTTGATGTTATATATATATTAAAGCAAATTTCTAAAACAAGTAAACTTTGGTATATATATAATCCAAAGGATAATATCAAATAATTAAATAACAAAACTATTTAATTTTTCGTATTTTAGATAAAATTATTAAAGGGTGATATATCGAAACATTTAGATCTGTCGCATGATACAATCAGCTTGACGCATTTGGTTTACTCTTTGAACTTTGAAGGGCTATATTTGTGGTATTAAAATCATTTGGTCTTATACTTGAATTATTAAAAGTTATGAGATGGATTATATTTTAAAGTTTATTTTGTATACCATATTGTAAGAAGATGGCTTGGTATAAAAATACGAGTAACGGGAATTATTATTTTTTCCGTAAAATATATACAAGGTTAATAAAAAAATTATAAATATTATTATTTTTTGAATAATACAATTATTATTTTTTGAATAATACAAAAATTGTGGTTTTAATTCGTGAACATCTATTAACATTAGTATTAAAAGAGAGTCTCGGTAAGTATGCAACATGTGGTTGTTAAGTAATTTTCCAAAGGAAAATGATACTTGAACAACCATTTTTGACAACATTTAGACACGCGCACACGTGTCAAAATCTGAGTTGTCCATTTTTATTTATTTTTTTTAATTGGACCACTCAGATTTTGACACGTGTGCGCGTGTCTAAATGTTGTCAAAAATGGTTGTTCAAGTGTCATTTTCCTTTTCCAAACATTTAATGCACTCAGAAGAAGGTGCAGCAAATGTACCCAAACACGTTTATTTTTTTACGTAAAAAAAAAACACAAACACTTAGCCAATATTCATTAAAAGAAATTCTCATATTTTTATTAAATATTAAATAATAAAATAATATATTATAAATCACATTTGACTTTTTAGCATTTTATACTATTTATATATATATATATATATATATATATATATATATATATATATATATTTCATTAATAATGAATCCATATGTATAAGTAATTAAAATTCATTAATCCATATCATGAAATTTATCTATAATTATAATATTTTTCCAAAATTATTTTTAAGTAATCAATGTACGGAAATAAGAAAAAAAATAATTAGTAAAGGAAAGTCTTCAATATTTTGATCTTTAAAAAATCATACTTTCATTATTTATAGACTAAATTAATTGACAAGATTTTGCTTAAAAATTAATGCCAAAAATAATATAAAAAATTCGGGGAAAATTTTGGAGTTTTTTTTATTGGATTTTTCTATATACTAGATGTTGTGTTATTTAAAAATAATACACATATATAGAAATTGATTTTGTAAGTATATGTGCAAAATGATCCTTTGCTCCTTGGCAGCTAGCAACAAGAAAACAAGAATACGTTACCCTATTTCACTCCTCAACTTATCGATTTACTCTTGTGTTATCCAACCACGTTGTTTTAGGAGCTGAATGGGGACTTATTGAAAAGGAAAAAAAAAACAAACATAAAAAAAAGGCCCCTTTGGTCTGTTGTCTGTTTGTAAATGATATCATATTTTTGTTTACTATAAATCGTTTGTGGCATTACAATAAACAAAATAAGGCTCTTAATGATAAGATCGCAGAATCATACCGGTACAACATAGGTCAGAATCATCATGCATCATTGGTCTGTCTATATACATATATATCACGACAAAACAAAACAAAATGGTTGGGACATCCAATGAATAAACCCACTTTTAAGTTCTGGCCGCCTCACCTCAATTTTGTCCCTGTTCCACTAAGTAAATAATAAATATACACTTTAATTTTTACATATTATTAATCAATAAAAATTACTTTTACTTGTTATTATTTTCAATATTTTTACATGTACGACTTTTATTTGTCATGAAAAGTCAAACCAAATAAACACTTACAATTTCATGCATTTGTTACGTACTAATTATTATTATTTGCGTGACACTCAATGATTTTACATACTTTATAGATTGAGATATAAGATAATTTAAATATTTATTTTCAATAATTTCATATGGTCTATGAATCGTGAGAACACCAATAAATGACCCATGAGAAAAGATCAATTGACAACTGCATAACCCTCCATTTTAGACTGTTCGAGTGTTTGTCATCAGCATGCAAGCCCATAAATTATTATCATGCTTTCTTCATTAATAAAAAACAAAAAGGAAAATAAATAGAAGGCATTTTAGGCTATGTATATCTGACGTATATAGCATGCTAGCATACCCTCATGCACCTGCCACGGAAAGCTTGGCCTTCAGGTTCTACGGTTACAGAATGGCACACTTTGAGTCCACTACGCACACCATGGGCAACAGGAGTAGGGTATAAGCTTTGTCATCATCGTTTATGATTAATATTAAAAAGATTGATTAATTTGCCACCTCAAGTTGCAGTTGAACTAATTAGATGTTGTGTTTCATAGGGGCCGGCCAATATATATAGTTAAAATCACAGCTTTTGCAAACTCATATATTGTTTCCTCGTATTACATTGGAGTTGCATTGCAACGCTGTACATAGTCGCCAACGTAAGGAATATGCAGTCATCAGATCGAAAACGAATAGCAGTAACTCTATATTATAATGGTCTGAATCCTTGAAAACTATGCGGAAGAAACTGAATGATAATGGTCACCTCTAGAGAAGATTTTTTTCGTGGAAATTTCCAGTCTGGACTAGAAAAATATGATTTATGAAGCTCATCTTTGTCTTGTTTTTCCTTGTACGCGGCGAATATCGACACTGCACTATTCAATACATATTATTGCGCACAAGGTTTCCCTGTCAACACCCGTGTACTGATTTGTCAATAAATTTCGCAATCACACTCACATGCAGCCTTGTGCAATGTTTGATGCTATCTGCGACTTTGAATGATTATACACGTTACACAGTCTTTAACGCAATTCCTGTCTGACATCTTAATTGCACGATAATATAATAGATCTAACTAAAATTGATTTGTTAAACGCATCCCCTATATCTTATAGCTGAGATTCGATAATCTAATAAAAGTTTTATACTAAACAGATAAAAAAATAAATTTAAAAGAAGATCGCAACCATAAAATTGACAAACATTAGCATTTTTCTTAATTCTGTTCATTCTAATATACTATTAAATGCTGTTCAAATAAGATTTTTTTTACACTGCCGGTTGATTTTGTTTTTATTTATATATACACCTAGACGTACGTAAGTTCTCTGATTTACATGGCTCACTACATTGTGTCACTGATAAATTCATGCAAGAAATTGTCACCTATAAGGTTTTCATATGAATAACTCTACTTTTATTGTCCTGATTTATCATACTTATTAACAAAATTATTCTTTTAATATTATGATCAGGTTGATTGGTCGATAAGAGTGATTTAAGTGTTTTAACAATATTTTCGAGATTGATATAATATATAGAGTTTAAAAAGTCTAAATTAGCGCAAGTGACGATCAAGAAAGAACATTAATCACTACATATACTGTTAATTATTTTAAACTTAGAATATCAAAGCAAATCCACGTGCTCGCGAATCAAAGTTAACAATATACACTTTATTTATATGCATCCGGTGACTGCAACTTTGATATCAAACTCCAAAACAAAAAATAAAAGGAAGGACTTGGGCAAAATTCACTAAGACTTTTATTGTGAAAAAATGAAGCAACAACATTTTTGCTTCCAATTGCATGCAATGCAATCGGTAACTATCTAAAATAACTTATTGATTATGCTTGTACTTTTGTCATTAAATATAACTAATAAGAAGCAATCCTTCTTGGATCTGGTAGCCCTTCTGCTGAATTATACAATGTTTAGTCACCACAGTCGACAAATTCGTAGTGAACAGTAAGATGGCCTTGAGCATTCCCATTTCCGTCGGAGTCAAGTCTTTGGAACACGCTAACGTCCAAGTCCAGACCCCCGTTTTGGCATTGATCCACAATTCTAGCTATTTGCTCATCTCCTGTTCGAGTGTTTGTCACCTACAAAAAACTATTACTGTGATTTCTTCATCAATCAAAAGCAAAATCATGCACGCATGTTAAGGAGGATATTGCTTAAATATTGAGGGAGTGGTGTAAAGCATACGTACCCTCAAGCACTTGCCACAAGAATCTTGTCCTTGAGGCCCTGCAGGTCCACAGAAGGCTGTCCATCCATATTTGCTTCGCCATGAGAGGGGCTGGTTTGCATCCCAAGTGGCGCAATACGCACTCACTGCCAGCAAGTCCCAGTTATGCTGCTCAGGTTGGTATAGATGATACGTAGACTCCACAACGGCACTTTGACCAGAGGCCACAGCCACCACACAAACTATCGACCACACGAAAAGGATAAGCTTTGTCATTATGATCTTAAGCTTCATTAATTTGTTATGCTTAGCTTGTTTCGTTGCAGTTCAATGAATAGATTTCCTGCATTTATAGCTTCTTTGGGCCGGCACATCTATCATTTATATATAGTGAAAATCAAAGCTTTTGCCATTTTCTTTCTTCGTGGTAAGTTGGAGTTACAATGCTTTACATAGTCTTTAACGTAATTCGCCACTCACATATATTCTTATTTTTACAAGGAATATTTCGATTACAAAATGAATGCGCTAATTGATCACCCTAGACAAAATACAGAATAAAGAGAAGGAACATGTTTTTTTTTCCACTGGTTTGATAATTTACTTTTAGGAGTATGTTGGTACTAAAAAAAAATTTATATTTACAAAGAAAGAAAGAGATTTAAGGATAAAATAGTGGAGGTAAAGTATGTATAAAATTTTGTTGGATGTCAAAAAATAGTACCCTAAAGAAAAACTAAAGTAAGAAATATTAGTCTAAATTGATAATTATTTTTTTCAAAACATGAATTTATTTATTTAGATTGCCCTTTATTGCTTATGTTTAAATAGTCTTTAATTAACTAGTGATCAATTTATACATTAATTTCTTTCATAATTAATTTTGGAGATCAACTTATATTCTACAAATTAATTATAATTTTTATTCATAATTAAATTTATTTTAGATATTAATAATTTTAAGTTTTTAAATTGATATTTAAATTATTTGTTATAGTAACTATATTTTTTATCTTTAAAATTAATGATTATTTTTTGTCTTTAAAATTAATTGTTATTTAAAGATTTTTATTTATAATATTTGATAGGTTAAACTATATTATAAGATGACTAATTTATGATATAAAAAATCACATTATATCTTTCTATAGTTCTAATATATAATAAATTTAATGTTTTATATTACATACAACACTACTCGATTTTAATAGTATTTTATTTGTTATCAGATAGTTGTTTTAATTGACTCATAAATATAATATTTTTTTATAATGCTTATTTTTAAAAAATGGTTGTGAAAACATTTTTTTTTTGCCAAATTTAGTTTGCAGATAGCAATGCGCCTACGACTGTTATAATGCAATTCCCACTAGATTTAGATAGGACAAAAGAATGAGCGACAAAAATCTGAGTTAGTCGCAAACGGCGCGTTTCTTGTCTTTAGAATAACGAAAAAGTTTCTTTAACAACATTTATTTGCCAACGCCAACACAACGGTTTTCGATTGGCTGAATTTGAAAAAAAAAAATGTATATAGAATTAATCAGGTGAGGGTATCATAGGGAAGGGAAAAATACAAAATTTTATTTTGTGCTTTTCTTATTCTTTTTTATTTGCAATTTCGCTAGCTCATCTCTCGCATTATCTCATCTTTCTCATTCTCTCATGTCTCTCGTGTTCAAATCCTAAAGTCTCACCTTCTACTGGACTGTTGGTGTTGTTCCTTCTTACAGTCTTGGACGTCCGTCTTGTGCAACATTGAACCCGTCTTTGACGTCCCTGTCCAACATTGGTATTGTGCCTTGTCATTATCGTAGTGTTTTTTAGTAAGTAGAACTGCGTGAACCCTAACCATCTTCTCCAGCATTGGCGTTTTCGTGTTGCGTGAGCCCTAACCATCTTCTCGACCATTGTTGTTTTGTTTATCTTATAACTGCAGGTCCAATGGCAGCTCAAAAAGGAAATGTAAGATGAAACAAAGGATAAGATCTAAAGTTATAGGCTCATTTGGTTATGTGCAAAATCATGAGGGAGTGTGGGTTCCCAAAGAGAACTCCCCCAATGAACAACGTGAAGGCAGACAAGATGAGGATAATCAACAAGCTAGTTCTTCTACAACACTAAATGATGTCATCAACCGCATTGAACAACTGTAGACCTTCGTTGGTACAAGATTTGACGCCTTCGAAACGCGATTTAGAAACATGGACATGGTCATGGGGACAAGATTTGACGCCCTGGAATCGCGAGTTGGGAACATTGAGGAACAACTATAGCACTTGCGCAACGGCTTTGATAACGAACCTCGTAGTTAGAATTGGTTGTTTAGAGTTAATTACTTTCATTAGGAACATTCATGGATTGTTGTGTTGCTACTTCAATATTGTAATGTTTTTAATACTCAAGTGCTTTATAGATATTTAATGTTTTCATCATCAATGTTTACATGAAGTTTTTGCGAATTATTTATGATAAATACTTAAATGAATATACCAAATTAGATAACCTCATGTGTATTGTACTTCTTAACAATAAAATCGAGTGAAAACCATTGGATTTATGTAAAAAAATTTAAAATTTTGACCATGGTCACCTAGGTTAACACAACTGGCTCCTGCAGTACAAGTTTTTGTACAAAAGCCAAATTTTGTTCGTGTAATCGTTTACCATATAGTTGTAAACGATTACAAGTGTGCTTTTTGGTGCACAAGTTTCAAGACTTCACCTAAGTTGTTCATCTCATAAATATTGTTCTTTTCCTCCATCATGGGGTGCCCAAACATGACTTCACACACTCAACTCACACTTAAACACCAAAATAAAGTGAAAACCACTGGACATATGTAAGAAAACTACAAATTTTGACAATTGTCACCCAGGTTACCACAGCTGGCTCCTACAGTTGAAATTTTTGTACAAAACTCAGGTTTTGTTCGTGTAATCATTTACCAACCAGTTCTAAATGATTACAAGTGTTTTTTTTTGTGCACAAGTTTCAGGACTTCACCTAAGTTGGTAGTATCACAAACATTGTTCCTTTCCTCCATCATGGAGTGCCCAAACCTGACTTCCTACACTCAACTCACACTTAAACACCAAAATCAAGTGAAAACCACTCGACTTATGTAAAAAAGTTACAAATTTTGACAATTGTCACCCAGGTTACCACAGCTGGCTCCAACAGTTGAAGTTTTTGTTCAAAACCTAGATTTTTTTCGTGTAATCATTTACCAACCAGTTGTAAACGATTACATGTGTGTTTTTGTGCACAAGTTTTAGGACTTCATCTAAGTTGCTCATCTCATAACCATTGTTCCTTTCCTTCATCATGGGGTGCCCAAACATGACTTCCCAGCCTATACTAACACTTAAACACCAAAATCAAGTTTAAACCATTGGACTTATGTAAGAAAGTTATAAGTTTTGTCCATGGTCACCTAGGTTACCACAATTGGCTCCTGCAGTACAAGTTTCTGTACATAACCCAGATTTTACTCATGTAATCGTTTACGAGCCACTTGTAAACAATTACCACTGTGTTTTTTGCAGCAGAACCTTCACCACTTGTGTTAAGTTCATCATCTCACAAACATTGTTTCATTCATCCATCACAAACATGACTACTCAATCAAATTGGCCAATTTATTCATTAACATTCCAAACAAAACCTCATTTCACAATGACAACAATGAAGGGAATAACATTTAAATTAACATTAACAATATTTAACGGAAGCAAAGATGCATCTTTTATAACATTGAACAAAATAGGTTACATTACACTCATTTGTTCATCTATGTACAATGTTGTATGACTTTCTTTTAACAAATCAATACAAATATCACTCATTTTTTATTCTAAGCACTCAATTTCTAGTGTACGGAGTCCTAAGCGCTCTGCCCTTGTAACACCTTCATGATTTGACCCTCACATACGTCTTCATAGGAGGTTGGTTGGCGTACATGCCACCCAGGGAAACAAAGCCATTGTTCATAGAGGGTTCTGCACGAGGCGCACTCTGTCCACCAGCAATGAAGAAAATGGAGGGAGAACGCATTTACCTTGGTTGAAGGACCATGGTCATCAGACCTTGCCATTTCGCACAATACCCTGAATAAAGAAGACGATGTTTAGCAAACCTTGCAGAGATAAAGAAAATGGAGGGAGAGAGAAAACAAAGAGGGTGAACAAAAAATCAAGAGAGATAACGAGGGGAATAAGAGAGAACGTTGATTTCAAATGAAACATGGTAAGAGGTATATTTGGAATCCCAAATTTTTGAAACCTTACTCAATTTTGACGTCACTTTTTAAAAATAAAAGTAAATTAAAACGGACCAATGGGCTGATGACACCCGGCGTTGTCAAAATGGTGTTAAAAACTCGTCAAAATAGCAGGATCCTTAGAATAAATAAAGGAATTGACAAAATCAGAGTTGTGTTGTGTTATCCATATGTGTTCATGGGATCTCTTAACCATATGTCAAACAACTCTGATTTTGTCAGTCTCGTCTAATTAAACTCGAGTCTATTCATTTTGGCCTTTATCATTATCTTGTATCCCATGCAACTTTTATTTTATTTTCTTATAATTATTCAAACATCTTAATTATTATAATACAAATATTGGATTTTTCTTTTGGATTTAAATATTACATTATTCTTTGAATTATTATGTCTGGCAGTGGGAACACACACGAAGAAAAATGTATGGGTTGGACTAACAATCTCGAAAAGCCTTCTTTTTCGTCCTCCGTTCAGGCGACATTCCGACAATGCTCCGGCGACACACCCGGAACTCCGGTGGACAAGGCACTGCGCCGGTCAAGGGAAGGGACCAAGTGGGAACACGCTACAACTTAAAAAAACCACAATGTCTGTCTAGGTCGGAGGAAGAGGGACTCTATCTACCGTTCACGATTCCTTCCGTTCAGGCGACACTCCGGCGACGGCGTCTTCGTTTTGCTTCCAACGCCGTGACTAAGGCGGCACTACGGCGGCACTGGGTGGACGGAAAACGACAACGTCTAGGGACGATGACACTCCGGCGAGACACGCTGGCTGGGACGAGATAACATGACGACGTCTACGTTTTGCTTCCAACGCCGTCACTAAGGCGGCACTGCGGCGACACTGGATGGAGGAAAAACGGCAACGTTTAGGGGCGGCGAGTATCCGGCGAGAGTTGTGGCTGGTTCGAAGGTGCTCCACTTTCTCTGAAATGTTCTCCAGCTTCTCTCTCTCAAATGTTTTCAATATCAAATTTTCGAAATAATCCTAAATTTTGAATCTGTCCCCAATTCTCTCATT